TTCATTCATTTTTCCCTGTTTAATTACCTCAAAAGGGCGCATTCAGCCACTATTTGCATGTACTTATTTGTGTGTTCATTTGTGTATGTATATGTGCATATTGGTTTTGTATTTACATCCTAAGTTTAAGTTTATATAAGTAGGTTTTCAATATTATTGAACTTTTTGTTTCTCATAATATTTCCATTAATTTTTCCTTTTTGATTTTCAGACAAAATTCTGAAGATATTGGGTAAATTTTCTCTCATATGCCTTTACTCCCAAATACCTTAAAATGACTGCTTTTTGATGTGTCCAACATTTCCTGCTTTTTTATTGATTGACCAATTCATTACTTTGCACTTCTTATAGATGCTTACCAACCTAACCCAGAATTCCTCCAGAAACACTGTTACAATATTGTCCAACTCAATCTATTGTTCAAATATAATATACAACATGGCTATTGTAAATATGAGCTGTGACACAGGCAGGTTCAAAAGTAAGTTAAAGTTGACAATAATCAGAGAATAATAATATTCTCAATATTTTTATTTAATAATTATTTAGCAAAAAATTATACATTTACTTTTGCTCCACTGTACATTATATTTAGTCCCAAAGAATTTGTAAAACCAAGGAACTCGCCTAAATTATAAAATCGTCAAATTAAACTAATGATATTTTTATAAGGTAACTAACAGAATTGTATTCCTAATTTTTTTTTTTTGCTTAATTCACTATATTCAGATGTTTCCTCCCTTTAAATTTTAGAACAATTGTCTCTGAGCAAATGACAGCTTTCTGCCACTGTTCCTACATGTGTGTGTTTTGTGTTCCTTGCAACATGAAAGGTTTGATATTGCATGCATGTTGTAGAAGAAATTGAATTTTCTTCATATTCGTTTCCCATGATATTTACAATTTCACTTTTATTTTTCAGAAAATCTTCAGGAAAAATTTGGTAAGTTATTTCTGACAATCCTTTATTGCCATGCCTTTAAAAACAATGTGATGTGTTTAGCATTATCTGCCTTATTCCCTATATGACATTCATTGGCTCACCTTTCTTTTGGAAGTCTACTCCTTTATCCTCAATTATTTTGGTCTGTATACTTCTTACATATGAAGTTCCATCTATTTATTTTCATAACTTCCCACCTTCCCAATTGCTATCCTTTTCCATGTCATACCTGTCCTTCCGTTTAAATTTTGGTATTTTCTGCTTCCCAGAAACTTGCCATATTTACTGTTAATCTTGTCAGTGGAAGAGGATTGTGCTAACAGGCACATGATTTCCACACATTATATACTGTCTGTAAAATAGCCATTAAAGTAGGACCTCTGCCATTTTTTTACAAGTTGAGAGGCTCATCTTAAGCAAACTGAGTGATGAGAGAAGATTCTATATGCAATGAGTGCATTTGACCCCTCCACTGTCCTGCCAAAATTTTCTAATTCTGATGTCATTCATTGACTGAGTGTGACCTAAAGGCCCACTCTTTCACCTCCCCGGGGACCATATTCCAGGTCACACAGATAATTCATATAATATTTTCTGGCCTTTTCCTTTCCAACTCCATTAAATGCTCCTTATTCTTTTGCATTTTTTTCGCTCAGGTATTAATTCACAATATTGGCAAAAAATTTTTATGTTTGCAAAAGGATGTTACATCTGAAGGAAAGTTTATATGTGATGTATGTTTTCCTCAGAACTCTCTGTGTGGATGACATGAGAAGTTATATGTCATAGCATGATCCTCAAAGGTTTTTTCATGAACCTATAATAGAATCATTAAATGCCTTAATTTCTCTTTTTCTGATGTTATATTACAATTATATTTTAGTTTAGAGAACAATGGAGTTTGGGAAGAGAGCTCCTTATGATTATAAGCAGGCTTCATATGATGACTGATATGGATACAGGTGTTGATAACAGAGTACTTTTACTATATAAAGCTTCTGCATAAGATTTAAAGTACCTCCCTCAGGTTATGTGCACTTTTGCCATATAGGTCTGAAAAGGTGGGAAGTCTAAAGCAAGACCAAAGATTGATTTTGTTGATCCCCGAAGAATTTCTCCTTTAGGTCTGTCATACTTTCCTTTCCCATCTCATTCCTTATGCAGGGATGGTTATGGAGATGGAGGTGACACAGGCGCTCATTGTTGCATTGACTTAGGTTTCTTTGGATCCACCCCTTAGAAATGTGGGTCAGTTTCCATTAAAGAATATGCAACAGAAGGGTTTCAAATTAGCGTCCTCTTCTCTTCCTGACATTGAGCTTTCATTATGTTTTAACAGTTTTTTTTCTTTCTTTAACTCTTTCAGATAAGGGTGACCAGGATAAAGCCAAGTCCCATGAAGGTATTTTACTTTGCACTAAGTCAGTTTCATGTGTTTATTTTCCATTTGTTTTCAACTCTCAAGGATCATCTTCCTTTCTCCACCACACACGTACATCACGTTTTCATGTATTGTTATAATTTCAACATAATTTTACTGTTTTCATTTGTTATTTGTTTCCCCCCATGATTATTTCTTCTATGGTTCTGTCCTTGTAATGTACGCAAACATTTCCTTTCTGACAAGATAATTTTAGTAATGACTTTCCTGCATAAAGTCGCTCTTCTTAAAGTGTCTGATCTGAAAGTTTTGTCCAATATAGCTCCAGGCCATACAATGTAGACCTCCCGTCCTACCCTTCCCCAGCCATACAATGTAGACTTCTCCCCTTCCCCATCCCCAGCCAGCCAATACTGCCATTTAATACTTTACCTCCCTTCCCTCTGAATTGCTTATGGTAAAGGTTATTCAAGCCTGAGTTAAAATCAGGCACACATACTATAAAGTTATGTATGAACCATTTGACAGAACATTGAGTATAGAGGTACCCATTAACTTATTCTGCATAAACAATATGAGCAGTAGTTTAGGATTCTATTAATCATGGGTTGTGGCAGTTTTACTTGTCTATGGCTAGCTACCACAATGGAAGAATGGACTATTTATATTTTGTTGAAGCCAGGGGTCTTATGCATATAAAACCTATTCTTATGGATGAGTACTATCCCATTTTATATAGGTGAAGGTTTATCTTTATGCAAGCAAAATGAAAGGACACTTGGC